ACCTATAAATAAATGCGTCCGCATATGTGCGGGTACGTGTGTGTATGTCGATTCAAAAGAGTATCAATTTCTTTGGTTTTTATCGTTGCCGCCTGCTAAGCAATTGAACAATTGAAAGCAAAAGCGGCCAACTAACATAATTGCAGCACACACTGCAAAATGTGTCTGTGTGTGTTTCTGTGTGTGCTACACACCCACCAACAGTTCACAGCTTGAATCGTTAATCATTCAACCGCAACATTTGCAAAAAAACAAAGGAAAACTAACCCAGGCCCAAAGACCGAAGCCCGCAAGCCCCAGCCCCACAAACTCGAGGCCCGGCGACAGGTCGCGCGTAATTGTAAACGAGTACATTTAAATGTTTATCCGTTGGTACTAACTAACGTTAAAAGCTTAACGACTTAAAATATACACTATAAAATTAAATTTTTAATTTAAAAAACTGTCATAATCTTAATCTAATAAACGCGCACTTATACTTTTAAAAATGTATATAATTAAAAAAAACTATTAAAGTATTAAAATATTTTCTAATGCACATAATATATACATAATAAACAAGTTCTTTTACATTTAATAATATATACAGAAACCTATTCGAAAAAAATATTGTTTATTTTGTGTACACCAAAATATATCAATATTTTACGGAACTTTAGTGCTTGCATAAACTTAAAACTTAAAAAAAAAACTAATAGAAAAAATATCCTTATATTTGCAATATTTCAAACATGAATTCCGATTTATATACGACGACTTATCCACCTATGCCTTAGCTTAATGATATGTTGCACATTACGTAACTAAACGCATAGTACATCATTTTTTTGCAGTGTATACATAATGGTTGGGCAAAAACAATGACCAATTACTGTGTCATTGGGCGCGCGTTGGCGTTGTCCGGCATTTTGGCTTTAACTTCGAGCCGACTTTGAACGCGTGAAATAAGTTGGAACAACAACAGCAACAACAAGAATAATAACAATAATAATGGTAACAACAGCAAGTGAAGCGTAATTGGTAACAAGACACATAGCACCGTTTGTAATTTAATTGTAACAGGCAACAGATATACGGAGAGGGGCAGGGTAAACTGCAGCCCAGCCCACCAGATGACGCCTGACCCAAAAAAAATAAATAAAAAGAGTCGCAGAATTATTGCACAATTGGCATGCAAATTGGCAAATGGCTTAAATGTTTCACGTACTTAGTTGCCACAAAATTGGAGCCCAAAACGGAGCACACAATAGGCCACAAAATAAAAAACGCCAGTCGGGAGTGCTTGACTAGAAGATACCCTGAACCCAGCGCCGAGCTGAGGACACAACCATTTGAATATCCTTTTATAAATACATATGTATAACAAACCACCCAGCAGCAGCTGTGCGTCTCTTTGCCCCAAATGATGCATGGCAACTGCATTCTAGATTTGGTTCGGTAGTCCGATCATTTATTAATTTTCAGCAGTTGTATATGGAAGATATGACGGGAAGTATCTAAAAAATTAGGTGTTCCTAATATGTGAATGTACATATGTATTTAGCTCCTAACGATATTCAGGGAATATTAATGGGAGGAAATATTTAGATAAAGTTAATAAATTCATGTTGGGTATAACATACAAGATTATATATTTAAAATTTCAAGAATCCTGCTTTTGTTGCTTCCGAGAATGACGCGTTCACACATACGGAAAGCAAAACAGACAGATGAACATGCCTAAAACGTTTCAGCTCGTTATCCTGTTTATAAAAACAATACGCCCTTTTACCCATTTTTATTGGGTTCAGGGTATAAAAAGGCCAAAAAAAAGACCGAAATCAGTGGTAACAAATAGTCTAGATGTATTATTTTGAAGGGGGGCACCAAATACGAGCCGAAGCGTGGCCGCTCCTAGTCAAGCGGCAGCAGTCGCAGCACAATTGTAATTTCTGTTTTAGTTTTACACCTACGCCTAGGTGTACATTAAACAGGTTCTTTGTAAAAGGTCGCCTAAGCACAGGCATAAAATGTGAAAGGTTTTGGCTAGAGCTTTAGACCCGGTTAAAAGCGGCAGACGGCAATTGGCAAGCCTCAAGCCTCTCAGCTGTGGCAAAATGTGTGTGTGTAACCCACAAAGCCCAATCGGATTGCAATTAAAAACAAGTCGCAGTTGCGTTACAAATTGTTAAATTATTGCGCAAGTGCAGACAAATTTTAATTTATTTAATTGCAGCAAAAACAAAAATTTTCAAACAAAAACAAACACTAAATTACAAATCAACTGTCAACTGAATAACGAAAAAAACAACGTTGATGTTGATGTGTAAAGTTGGATGCCGCAGAGGCTTGGTCAAGTGCAAAACATCAGCAGCGCTTGGCTCAGACATTGTGGGCCTGGCCAAGAGACCAATAGACAAGTCAGGTGGCTGCCGTCTCAAAACGTGTCACAATTCACATGCGAATGCCATGTGCAGTTCGTGATCAGCGTGATCAGAGCTCAAAACTGGCCAAATACCTTAAGTCTCTGGCATGTGAGAAACCTCAAATCATTCGAATCCGCATCGCAAACGGATATCAGTTGAAGTTTACAAATACAGATACCAATTTCCATGAGCTTTTGTGACCTGCTAATTAACACATGTTCTATATAATATATTAAATTTTAATTGGAACTGTAATTAACATATTTATTTTAAACGGCCTTTGTCGGAGCTTAAGCTTGAAACTTGACACATTTTTGAGATTAATTAAGGTAAACCAAATATAGCCTAAAGATGTTCTTAATATTACTTTTTTTGTGTTACCTAACTTTACTTACACTCATTTGTGTTTGAAATCAAATCTATCCAATCAATAAGAAACTTGCTTCAAAAGATATCTGTGCCAGACAATACTTCAAAAGATATATTTTTGAAATTTTATGCAAGGCTGCGAACATAGTCCGAACCAATGCCACGGTTCGAAACAAATCTGGAACTAAAATTCTAGTTTAACTGACTTTCCACATCAATAATCTTTAAGGAACATGTGTTAATCATATAGGTGTTTGAAATAGTTTGGTTTTCGTTAAGATTAGGCTCATAGCTAATAAAGAAAAAGGCGACTTCGGGAACAGATTCGATTGAAAAACGGCTTGCAGCCTTGGCCTACACTTTAATTATTCCCAGATATTGGAATATAATAATTTTAAAACTATATTATATTATTGAAAGACAAAACGATTTAAGACTTAAAAACGTAACACTCTTCTCAATATCTCAATCAGTTTTCATCTTATTCACTTCATATTAAAATCATGTTTAGAGGGTATTTGCGCATCGTCTTGTTTGCATCAATTGTTGCACGCTTAATTTCGCATTTTGTTGTTGATGCATCGCAATTATAAATGTGACTTAAAGCGACATTTGCTCATCAATGCCCCTTGCCCCACGCGTCTGCTGATGATGCCCCAAGACATGATGTCAAATGAATACATTATTTCGAGAGCCCAACGACAAAATGAGCGTTGCGTCTGCGCTTTCAACTTTGACAGAGTGTCTGGCTAAATGCCAGCTAGCCCCGCCAAACTCCAACCATAAACAAAGAGCTAGTCAACTTTAAAGCCAAAGGCCGCCCCGTGGCTTTGGGGCAGCTCGCTCACTCGCCATTTCTCCACTTCTCTCTCTATCTATCTTTCTATCTCTTTGAACTGGTAAGATAATTGCTTTGCCAATTTGACTTAATGAATTAAAGCTGCATTTGCATTTCGCTTTGTTGACCTAACTCGCTAGCCATTTGCCCGCTTTATGGCCATTTATAAATCAGCTTAGTCCCAAGCGCGACAATGTCAAAGTTTAGAGTTTAAACATGGCTGAATATATTTAATGCTCTGAAATATTCATGAACTTTTGAACCAACCAAACAAAACCGAAAGTTATCGCGACATGGTCTACACTTTCTTTTCGCTGTTATAGAAATGCGCGCAGCTGCATCCAAAGCTGATCACGTGCAAAAAGAATAATAATATATAAATATATCTACCAATATATTCCCTCCACATAACATCATCAGTCAAGCTCCAGTCAGAGTCGTAGAAAGTTGCGCCCAAAATGCAATTTTTTCTGTTATTGCTCAGACAAAAATATGAAAAATTAACTAACAAAAAGATACCGAGCACGAGTACTCGAAGTTGCACTCACACATCCATATGAAAAATGTGCAACCAAAATCTGAAGAATTTTCAAACAGTGAAATCTGAAATTGCTTTTTTTTGGAATGCATGTGCAGACAGGCTGGCACACACACACACACACACAAGCAAACAAATACGAATAAATCAAATCGAAAACATTTCCGTTCGCTTCATTCATTTTCACTTTGATTGTAACAGAATTTGGCTTAGCTTAGCTTTATTTCGTATGTAAATGACGCTCCCTGAAACCCCAATATGATCAAAAGAAGAGTAACCATAAATCACTTTACAGCTGGTCGAAATACATATACCCTACCCATGAGTTGCATGAATAATTACTCTATCAAATTCATAGAATTGTGTTGAAGGTTGGTTGCAGCGAAGTGCAAGCCAAGTACATCTTTTCGACAATTGACAAACCCTTTAAAATGCTTTCAAAGTAACCATAAGTAGTTAAGCTACATCAGTTCCATATAACATACATACATATAACTTCTCATATTGCTGACCTATAGCAAATCTCTTTTTATCGTTATAAGCCAGTAATGAAAATTTCTAACCTCATATTTTTTTAATCTATAAAGGAAATTTAACACTATTTGAAATGTTTTGTTTTTGTTTATATTCATGGGAAGTTTAAGGATAGAGCCCCGAGAAGACAAAACATTTTTTTCAGCTTCCTTGTTGCTATAATTATAATGAAAATGTTCAAATCTATCTATCTATATGGAAAATTTCATTAAGATACGAGATACATTGCCTGCAAACTGCCTGACTAAATCAAGTTGCTTTCCGTCTAAAGTTAGAGTATATATATATGGGTATAACTGCTGGGCAATCGACTTACCATTTCCTTGCGCAGCGTCGCTATCTGCGCGTCCAAAGTGCTGCCCGTTACATTGAGTTTAGCAGGTGAGCTTGGCGTTGTTGTTGTGGCTATTGCAGTTGTTGCCGTTGCTGTTGTTGATGTATTTTCATTTTCATTTGCATTGAAAGTCTTTGCTGGTGGTGTTGTTGTTGCTGTTGCAGACTCTGCTGTAGCCGTGGCTGATTTATCGTTTGCATTATCTTTGCTGCTGTCTTTAGATGCCTGCTTATCGCCGCTCAAGTTGTTGTTGTTGTTGTTGCTTTTGTTGTTATCACTAACTATTTGGCTTGCTAATTTGTTGCCGCTGTCGTTCTCCTTGTTGTCGTTGTTGTTGTTGTTGTTGTTGTTAAGCTCCTGCTGCAACTCCACATCGCTCAATAAGCCCGAATCGGAGCCGAGCAGCTTGTTGAATCCACTCAAAGATTTCGGCAATGGCGGCAAGCCACTTATTGACATTCCGCTGTGGATGGAAAAAAAATAAATGCAAATTAATGGAAAACATTCAAGTGGCTTTGATTACAAAACTTAGTCTATTGCTGATCCTGGCATACCTCGCATACCTCTTGCCACCCAAATAGCCGTAGCCTTGCCAATAACTAATAACGTGCCCATCATCAATAAGTTCATCATGATCAGCTTTATCATGATTACAATCATCATCATCATTGTTATAACTATCCTTATCGCTATGCCCATGCCCCAGCAAATCATTCAAGACCAGCGGCAACAGGCCATGGTCATTGTCAATATCATCATCGTCGTTGTAGTCGCTGCATGTGGTGGGCGTTTGGCCACGCCCCGCGCCTGCGCCTATACCCGCACACCACTCCTCCTCCACGTTGTCGTCGTCGTCGTGCGCGTCTATGGCAAAGAGTCCATCTTGAAATCTTTGATACCATCTGGCCACATACTGCGCAGTCGGCGCAAATGGCCCAAACGCGCTGCGGCATTCGTCGAGTATCTGGTCGGGATTGAGGCGCCGGCGGAAGCCAAACAAGATGCACTGCTGCAGCTCGACGGGCGTTGGAGCCGGTATCGGCGACAAAAACAGCTCGTCCAGATCTTCGGACATACGTATTGCAGTTGTTAGCTTGCGTTTGAAACGACTTAAGACATTAGCTGTGAATTGACAGTGTGCGATATAAAAGATAACGATAAACATATTTTTTTCGACACAGAGAGCGAGAGAGAGTGAGAGAGCGTAAGAGCGAGAGCGAGTGAGTGTGAAAAACTGAGAATTGAAGTACTTTGAGGTAGTTTTCAAAACACAACAACAAGTAACAGAGAAGCAACAAAATTAACAACAACACACACACAAGCAAACAAGCAACAATGCTCTAGTCGAATGGCCCGACCAGCAGATACCCTATGTACAGCTGTGCAATATGCAACACGAAAACAAGCTATGGAAAACTAATTGTTAAAGGCCTTTTGGGCATAAGTTTGCATTTTTATAACATTTTCAGCGCTTAAAGACCTTAACATGTGTTTATATGCCACAAATGGAGAATGGAGGGCTTAAGGGCCATCTCAGACAAACAGACGGAAATAAATACATCGATTGGAATCGTATTTCTCATCAAGAATACATACTCTATATGAGTGGATTCGCAGCTTGCCTATACTCCCTTTTAACCAATTTCAAGATGTACAGGGTATAAACAGAGCAACGAAAATATTTGAAGTGTTAGCAAAATGAAAAAAAAATGTAAAATTAGCAACCAAGTAGCGCATTCGAATTTGAGCTCTAGCTTTAGCTGCGGCTGATCTTTCGCCGGGGCATTTATTCATACGATAAGCTGACAACAATGACATTTCAATCTCTGCTATTAGCCACAAGCGCAGAGTCTGTTATATATATATACGTATACACACATATAATATATATATATATTTTATATATATATATTTATATATATATATATATAGGCTCAAGTGTTTCGAGTTAGGCAACCAGACACTCGGCTTAGAAACCAGTAACCAAGGCCAGCAGCTATACGCTGAAGTAAAACTGCCACTGGCACAGCTAACCGATCTGGAGCCAGCGCGGACAATATGCCAGTTTTGGGCTGCATTTTTAGCGGCTGATGCCGGCATATGATATTTTAGGCTGATCAAGCCCAAAGGGCTTCACTATTAGAGACAAATTGACAAAGATTATCTGAGGTATCTGTAGCTAGTCTTAGACGACTTAAAGGAAATGTTTATTTTTGAGGACATAGCTTGAAATTCGCCGAAAATAAAGAAATATACTACGTTTAGCTATTTATTTAAGAGTAATAAATGTATATATATATATATATATATACAAATAATTTTACTAGCGGAAATATAATATAGCTGCTTATCTTTATATCTTTAAAAGGTTCTTCGCAACTTTCAGATTTAATTCTGTCATTAAAATCATTAGCCATTTTCAAGCTAAACCTGCCAACACAAGAGAACTTTCGGCTCTGACGAACTCATTTTTCCTTAGCTTAAAACCTTATATTTTTATATTTTGCCACACTAGCAATAAATGCTCTCATAACAGCTCTTAAATTCGGCATGGTATTGGCAATATTTTGAATATTATTATTATTATAATAATAGCACAGCGGGCACTTGAAATCCATATATCATTGCAGAATGCCAGTTTGAGACTTAACGCTTCACTGTCGCCAGTCGCATTGGCGAACAGAATGCCAACAAACGAGTCCAAAACAAGTTGCATCAAAGGCCACAGAAGTCAGTCATAGATACAGATACAAAAGTAGCTACGCTTATGAGAACCATTTGCCAATGCGAGCCGCGTGCGGTTTGAGATACTTTAATTGTTGCCATGCAGCACACAGCTCGCAAATCGCAGCTCGCAGCTGACCCAATTGCTGGGCAAATGGTTAAATCGGAGTTGTGTATATAGCATTTAAAGGCGATTTAACTCTCAGGTAGATAATATGCTGCCGTTTAACGGTAATCGCCAAACATAACTTGCATAGATCAGCTGCAAATTGGGCGCTACCAAAAGCCACACTTAAAGATTCAGACAATACGATTACCCCATTGCAGATCCACATGGCAATCATTTTTCGCCCGTTTTACCAGATTTATCGGTCACGGCGTGGCTTAAGATATTATTTACTGCGGTTGCACGAAGCAAACTAACCGAACGCTTGGCTGCATCTCTTGTTGGCCAAGTTAAGACGTAGACGCAGTGACTGTGCCGGACGGCGTAGTCCAGACAAATGCATTATGTATTTAACTTGGCTAATTGCTTGACTTTTGCTGCGCGCTCTGTGTAATCAATAAGCAGAAGCTAGGCTTTGCCAATCGCTAATTTGTGTGAACATCAGCAGCAGACAGCAGCAGAGTATCTTTATTTGCGAAAGATATTTTTTGTAGCTCGCCGCAGTTTCTTGGCCAGTTGAATGCCCGATTTCACCTTAAATACGCCACAACAATCCAAGCTCTCACAATATTAAAAAAGTTGTAATAATAAAACCAAAGAATTCTGCAATACAGGAAGCAATAATCGCAAATAAGTTAAGAGCTTTTAGCTGCGTGCCTTTGTAACATAATTGCCATGCCATGTATTTATTTGGATAGCATATTCTCGCTCGCAAATACTCTCATATTTTAAGCTAGACAAGTATCTATATATTTTTTAATATGTATATTTTTATGAACAGCTGCCAAAAGCGGACATTGCTATCCAACTACAAAAAAAAAACACAACCTCAAGCGATGCGACGGCCGCAGACCTTTTTTTGCAACTCTTCGCCATTAACTCGAATAACAATCACCAAAACGCAAAAAAAAATTAAGTGCAATATACATATTTAGCACGTTCGAAGCATTTAAACGACAAAGTAATAAACAATAAAAACAGGCAAAAGACAACGTTTTCTTATGGGCACAAAAAATTAAAAATGAAGTGAACAAAAAACCAGAAACAAAATTATAGCCAAGTATTAAGCGTTTACTCTTCTGTTAGCGATGCACTTAAATCTGATTGATCATCGTGATATGAGCTATAAATAAGCAGTACCAAAGGTAAAAAGTTATGATTTTAGTACCAATTGGTCAACAACAACATTGTGAACAAATATAACCGATTAATTATTACCTTTAGAGATGACTGCTAGGCTATGTACCAAATGTATTTGATTGATTAAAGACGATTTTTGCACCAATTGGTCAAAGACTAAATTATCGATAAAAAAAATACTCGATTTCTTATGTTTTACCTTTGTGGTGACACCTTCGTTAATTTCGGTCTGACGTACCTTGCGAAATTTATTCGAATCAATCAATCAATTCAATTACACAAATTGCAATTTTTATTATACTAGCTACTATACGATAAAAGCTATAGTAGTTTATGTAATCGATCAATAACCTTAAAATTTGTTTTGTACAATTATTACAAGCAATTATTTGTTACTCCTACAGATGATACTAATGTCAACTCTCATTAGTGATAAAAGCTACCGATAAGATAGAAATATTCGAGATTTCTGTCAGGCTAATTATGAATCGATTTCTATACTATTTAAGGCTGAGTTTTAATAAAATTTCAGTTTATCTAATACTTACTAATTGATAAAATGGACAATTAAAATGATTGGTTCTTTATTAGCGATAGATATAACACTTACTTATCGATAACCTAAACATTTTGTATGCTAACAAAAACTGCGCAAAATATGGATCGATAAAAATGATCGATTGTGCATTCACTGTTGTTAAGTATGCTACTTTATGCAGTTTTAGATGCATTCAAATTAACGTTAATCCATCTCGCATAAAGACTAACGAAATGAAGTCTGTACATGATGAAAAAGCTAATGAAAAAGCACATGAATTCTCTGTACACGCATGACATTACGATATCAAAATGGAGCAGGAAAGCTAAAATTATTTTCCTGATTTACGGCTTTACTCGCAGCACCAACTTGTCAGCTAATTGGTAAAGATATGTACGTATGGTACTTTTTAACGAGTGCAGATGTATGTATTTATATATATGTGTTTGGTATTCCTGCCCTACTCTGGTTGATTAGCAAGAAAAACAAAAACAGCCTGCTGTGTGGCGCACGGCATGAGCCGTAAACAATATGCAGTTAATTTGGCAGCTGACTGGCGCCGTCATTTCCACAGCGTGCACCTGAAATTTCACCTGACTTAGTGTGCACAGATAATTATGGTAAAAGGCACTTTTCAGAAAAATTTGCATTTGCTCTAAAGCAGCGAAATGTCAGCAAAACCAACAGCATGCAAGTCTTCAGTACACTGTTATTAATTAAGCCTACATTGGAAAAATATGCCTTAAATGCAGAGCATAGTTGTTATTTATGCCTCGTCCATCTGGCTGATTACTTCATATTCATATGGCAAGTTCATTAGCCCCCCAATACCTAATCACTCGGGGGTCTTACCAGACACGTATCATACTATTTAAGCAAGTATTAAAATTGATTT